CTTCCAGATCAATGCTTTTGATGATATTGAGGCTGATATAAATGAGCATATCAATGACATTCAGGATCCGATGGCGTTAGGGATCTTCAATAGGATCAGACAGATAATAGCAAACGTGTTCCATAAAAATCATGTCGACGAGTTTGAAGACCGTGAGGATAGGTCACGCCAATTTGGTCAAGTGTACACGTGACGACTAGGACAGGTCAAAGGGCGACGCATGACGATGGAATCGACACCTCATAGCACGGTGCATGCTGATGGAGCTGACACTTCTCAGCCTCATACACTTCTCAGATCATCGAGGCACATCAGCATGGACAGAGGGGGCGGAGGGGGGGGGGGGGGGGGGTGAGGGGAAGGGGTAAGAGAGGGAGAGGAAAGGAGAGGAGGACTTTTGGGATGTATGTGAAATTTTTTGTTCAAATTTGTTACTTTTGTGAATTTCAAGAACGATATGGTTAGATTGTTCAAATTTGTCTCTTTTGTGGATCGATTATTGTTTATATATGTGATTTTCGTGTGTATTGTTTGATTCATGATTGAATTTTATGAATATTATTGTAATTCAGTATATGTGATTTTCGTATGTATTGTTTGATTCATGTATATTGTTGTGATAAGGTAGAAATTTCATGTATATTGTTGTGAATGAGGCGGAAATATGTGTGTATATTGTTGGGAAATTTTTTTCATGTATATAAAAAACATGCACACATTTTGTGCATGTTTTTTTAAACATGCAACTCCATGGGATTTCAAGTCTGGTGGAGTTGCAGGCTGAATTCCAGAGAGCAATGCTCTCTGGAATTTCAGCCAGAAACTTCACATGACTTGAAGTCTCGTGAAGTTATAAGCTTCACAGGACGTCAAGTCCCGAGAAGTTTTGGCACTCCTAATCAAGTTGGTTATGAGGGGCTTAAAATTCACGCGGCTTCAAGTCCCGTGAAGTTTTTTAGATTTTTTTCACCAAATTCGACCCAGTTTCAGCCAGTTGGCTGAAACTAGGTCGAATTTAGTAAATATTTTCCAAATAGGTCGTTCTTTGCAAATAATTTTCTAAAGAGGTCTAAATTGAAAATGTGTTCTTCTTTATCGGCTTAATTGCACTTAAAACCTACAGTTTCCCTTACCTTACAATTACATGCCCTCAAGTGCTCTTGTTAGTAATCAAGAGCAAGCGAGGGTAGATAAAGGCAACGCGGGGAAACTATAGGGTCTTTAATTGCAACTACGATGGATCGGGTCAATTACCAAATCCATCCAAGTGAGGGGCGAAGACCCGGGGGCCCTCTCCCTCTGAACCCAACCCAACCCAACCCGACGATTCAGGGTTTAGTGGGAAGCAAAGCATCTGCTTCCTCCCCCTTTCATCATCTTCTTCAAGGTACCCTCTCTCTCTCTCTCTCCCTCCCTCCACCCAATGATTGCAGCATAATTTAATCATTGTTGATTTCTTTACTTCTGCACTATACACGGCTTAATAGTTTGTTCGGTTTGATAATCTTTCT